TCTTTCCCTTGGTGAGCTGCTGCTGCTTGCACTGCCCTGCACACATTTTCTGCTCAAAGGTCATTAATCCAGAGAGGACAGACTGCATTTGCTAGAAACCAGGAAATACTATTCTGTCCTAGCAAACCTATACACAGTCATTTTATTGACTAAACAATTAATCATTCTGTTTGTCAAATGTTGTGAAAAACATCTGTTGTAATTTCCAATAGTCCAAGGCGATATTATATTTAACTAGCTTGGTTTTTTGTTTTTTTACCAATAGTCCAGAATCCAAACATTTTCAGTTTACAGTCATTTATAATTCTGGAAAGCAGCTAATCTTAACATCCGAGAAGCTGAAAATATCAAATTCAACTGGGACTACAGTGAAGCTCAAGATTTATGTTAATATATGGTTGTGTTTTTTCATAAATATCCGTACTGTGTGTGGTATTTGTTGTCCAGTTTGCCCTATAATACTACAGATTCTGACAGCGTTGTTATGCAGTCTTTAGATTAACCTTTTGTTTTTCTCCTTTGTCTCTGTGAACAGATGGCCTCAGCAACAGCAACCTATGGACAGAAGGAGACTTCGGATCAAAACTTTGACTATATGTTCAAGATCCTCATTATTGGCAACAGCAGCGTGGGCAAAACGTCCTTCTTGTTCCGTTATGCTGACGACTCCTTCACGCCGGCCTTCGTCAGTACAGTGGGCATTGACTTCAAGGTGAAGACCATCTACCGGAATGACAAGAGGATCAAACTGCAGATCTGGGTGAGACATGAGGAGATGTGTTGTCATTCAGAGTTAGATGTAAATATCTAGTGAATGTGCTACTGAAGCTGGAGTTGAATGAGTGTGTTTATATAACAGATCTTTCAGTCAAAAGCTGCTTAGGATTATTATGCAGTGTAAGTTTGTCCTGGCCGACATAAAGCAGACTGTTGAGGAGACAAGAAACGTTACCTCTGATACTCAAAACTCAAACTTTCTAAAAATCCATTTTAGGACAGATTTGCTGATGTTGTCAGACAGTTTGTGCACTGTGGACTACAATGGTAGACACCCAAACTTGACTCCTTGGGGTCCCCAGTGGTTATTGGATGGTCACACCTGTCTGGCATTGTAAATGGGAGACCGCATCAGCCCACTGCACCTTATGATACTCGTGAAAGATTTAGGAGTATGATTTGGTCATGTGTTTTAATGAGTTCTCATGATACAGCAAATAACATTTCATAAGATGTTTCATAACATGTTGAACAGCATTATCTGCTGCTCTTTGAGACGCTGCCCTGCAGTGCAGTTTTATTATGCCAACTGTCCTCATATTGCAGTGAACACATGCATTTGCATGCAGCACTGTCCTCTCTGCAGCCTGCTGCAGCCAGCTGTTCCTTGGTTGGATAGAATACTATAAAATATATTAGAAGTAATGATAAGCTACCAAAACACTGACCTGCCCTTTCAAACAAAGAGGATGGTTTCTGATCAGTCATGCTGGCTCCTGAGGGATCAGTAAACTCATTCAAAGCTGTAAAGAGCAGAGCAAAGTATTCTGCAGGAAACAGTTTCAGTATCACATTGTACATCATAACATCATTTCCACCTTTACTATACACTCTGCAGAAGACAGAGCCCTGATGGTGAGCAGCGCATGGTCCGTGTATGAGGGAGGGGAGGGGAGCTATGTAAGAACTGGAGACGCGAGAGCAGCTCCGAGTCATCTTTTTCTCATGCTCTGATTGGCCAATTGTGTCTTCCTTACCAGAGGCAAGACCTGACAAAGGCTGACAACAGAGGCAGCCATACACACAACACACACACACACACACACACATAATATCTCAGTTAAAAAAAAAAAAAAACTGATTCAATAATCAGAGCAGCCTGTTATCTTGACTTTCTCCTTACCGAAAATTCTCTGCTGTCTTCGGAACCACATCAGCAAACAGCTCAATCTTCATCCGTCCAACATCCTGACAAACAGTTAAACATACAAAATGAGAGATATCCAGTGAAGGCAGAAACATAAACACCTAAAAATATGAGAAATCGTTTTATCCCTGGCAAAGCTAAATAGGATCTTGTTCCCGCTCTATGACAGTGGCCGGTGCATCTGGACTAAACAGTTACACTCAATCCTGGCAACAGCATCTACAGTAACCCTTCAACTGAATAACTGGTGCAAGAATTCAGTGTCCATCTTTCATCTGCTTCTGACCTTAAATACAATGAGCTTATTCTTCAAAAGTAGAGTCTTGGTTTATCTCAACAATACAAGCAACTCAGGCCCAGTTCTGCATTCCCCAGAGGTCAAAGATTACATAATAAATATGCAAATAAGAATAATCAACAATCTTGATGCAACACTTAATTGGACATTGAATCTCGGAACTTTGTTTGTGCATGTATGCCCAGCACAGTGACTGTCCAGCTAGGCCTCTGGCAACCCCGGGGAACACGCAAGCTGCCGACTGTTACAACGTCTGTGTGTGTAAAAACAAACAACGATCTGGTTGTAAAAAGAGTGGTGTCTTCCCACACAAATGACTGAGTAAAACAAGCAGCCATTGGCTCTCCTGTCATTGCTCTTTAGACAATACAATACGTTTATAGTTTCCAGGCAATGGAATGAAATATATAAGCTACATATGTACACAGATCAAACAGCCACAGAGCATTTAATCTGCCTTGGTCTGGTTGGAGTGCAGGTCCACTGAAGTCAGGTGCCTAACAGCAGGTAAGACAGCTGGCAATATGTCATGAAAATGAAGTAGTTTCTTATGTCTACATTTTGAAGAATGCACAGCACTTCTGATGTGACACTGGACTGAGGGTGTAAAAATTTCAGTGATAGTGCGCAATTCCTCGAAAGTTAAAAACAAACAAAGCATAATGAAGATGAGTCAGGTAAGCAAGTATTTCTAGGAATGATGTATATCATGCAAATCGATATAAGAGACAGTGATCTCTTGGGACATAATGAGATGGAAAACAAGACAGTTTCCTGGAAGAAAACAAAGGTGTGTCCCATCAGTTGTTTGCATTCAAAGGTGGAGCCACAAAGAGCTGCCTAAAAGGGAACAACTCTATCTGATGACAGTCACATAGCTGCACGGAGTCTTGATGAGAACATGCAGGGCCATTAACTTGCATTACTGGATAAGAGGTAAGAATCTGGACTATCTACTGAAACCTGCTGGACTAGTACAGTCCTCAAAAAGGTGCATTTTCTTAGAACTGTATGAATGCTACAAGTTGCAGAACTTGTTTTACCCGTTATCAGTGTCACAGAGCATTTGGAAACAACTCTTGAAACTGAAGATAGTGTGTGCAGCTACAATGAATACTACTGTTGTAAAATGCTGTGAAAGATATTTCCCCATTACGCTTAACCAGTGAAACTCAGAGAGACGAGGCGGTCCAAGTGGCTACAAAAAACCGTGCTGGTTTATTCAAGGATCACAGGTGAAATTAACATTACACGCTCAGGTATCTTGCACCTCCAATACTGCGTGCAGGCAGATGAAGAATGTAAGACCCCGAAACCAACAGGCCTGTACATTATATCTGGTTTGGGCTAACCCCATTCTACACAGGCACGTCAAACCGTGGCGTCACCTGATAGGTCAGCTTTACAGCTGACCATAGCAGTAGTCAAAACATGGAGAAAATCAATGTGTGTGAGTGTTGATTAAGTGGTGTGTATCTAAGAACATACAGGACATTCAGGGACATGTCCGGACATTAAGCCTAGGAAGACATTATGATTAAGATTACGGCTAAACATATCATAATAATAACACTAATCATCCTGCCTGCTGACAATCAAACTTTTCTATCTAGTTATCCTTGCCCATGTACACCCTGCTAAAATCTCATGACAATGACTAAGTGTTTAAACAGTCTAACTAGACATCCTGTCTCCACTAAACATTTCTAATACAACAAGTATCTAACCAATACCTATCTGACTAAAAAATACCTAACAGCTGACATGGAACTGTTCAAAAAGGGAAGTCAGAGGTCTAATTCACAAGACAAGATTCATGTTTCGGGTTCAATTTGAAATCAATATATTTAAAAAGGTGTGTCTAAAATATACTGTGATTAAAGACAATATGAATTTCATTTGCAGGCAAGAAAACTTAAAAAAAAAAAAAAAAAAAAAAGGATTTCACATGTGTGCTCTGTGTACCACTGTATATTGACAATGAGAGTGGAATGATCAGTGTTTTCAATTCTGCTATGCCTCAAATTGTGGCCAGTGTTTGACCAATACCCGTTCCTCCTCTTAGGCAGAAGAGCAGCAAACAAACATGAGGGATAATTCAGCTAACCTTGTTGAACTGCACAGGGTGTAGGCTGCAATAACAAACAAGATTAAATAATCTACTGTATGTTTACCAAGGACTCAGCAATCCAAATGCAACTGTTTAAGCTGCACAACAATGTCCTTCAGCAAGACAGTTTGGTTATTAGCATTTGATAAAATGTTTCAAATGTATACCAGGAAAAAACTGAGGTTTTATAAGGGTTAGGCACTTTCCTGGGAGAAACCCGATAACTTTGCAGATGCATAAGAACCACAATGTTGATGTTCTTGTTTTCATTAATTGATTGCACTCCATTGTTTGGATATGCACAGTTCCTAACCAGTACTGTCTTGTCTTTTACAGCATTTCCTGAAGCATCTTGATACTGAACTCAGCACCGTTTCAGGAACTTGTATGCTGCCAGCTTCAACAGTAAACTAACCACACTGTCAAAATGCAGACCATTCTAAAAGAATGCAAGGATGGGTCTAGCTGTGATCCAGAAAATACTGTTAAGTATCTGTTACTTTTATTTTTCAAGTTGGGACTGGATATGGGGGTTTTTCACTTCTGCAACCAGAAGCTTTATAGGTCCTTTTTAAGCATATTCAGCCTGTTCATTATCCTGGCTGACCTGCTGATGGTATTTTGTATAGCAACCATCTGGTTTCGTGCGGCTGAAATTGCTCTTGGGTCACTATGCATCCTCTTGGCTAACGCCTCAGCGACATATGGAGCACTGCCGCTCCCCGTGATGTGTCTGGGTTTACTGGACTACTACTTAGATCATACTTGGATCAAACAGAGTGCCTTCTCCAAAATCCTCAGGAATGTGGTGTTGACATTGCTGGTATGGATGCTAGCTTTGATTTATTCCTTTGGTACTGTCAAACCTGAGCTGGGCGAACTGTTTTACGAGTCAGGGATCAACATCCTGGTGTGTGAAGTAGAGGAGAATACAGTGGTTGCCTGCGTCACTTTGGGACTTTTCATTGCAGTACTCTGTACTATACTGCCCTTTTGGTCAAGAATTCCCCAGTGGGTGAAAGAGGCTGACAACTTGTCTGAATTGAGCGAAGAAAACCTAAGGAGCGACTTGTTGTTCACTTCAACCCCGTGCATAGAGACAAAATATGGGGAGAAGAATGATCTGAATGAGCCCATCCAACCACGACCACCTTTGTGGCTCAGCTTCACTCTGGGATTTGGTATATTCTGGATGCCATATCTTACTCTATCTACAATTTGTCTGGTCTCTAGCATTGAAGTACCTTCCTACATCACTGTTAATCTTCTGTGGTTGGAGTGCACCAACAGTGTACTAGGGTGTGTGCTGTTCTGCGTAAAGAGCAAGACTCAAGAACTGTATAGCCAATTACCAGAGAATGTGTGCTCATGGCATGTTTATTGGCATTTGAGCAAAGGAACACAGCTGCAGCAACTCCCTATAGCTGTGTTTAATCCATCTAGAGGGAGAAGAAATAGTCTTCTCTTTGTGTAACAAACAAGTTCAGTGATAATCCTGTTACAACACAGACCTGACCGTCTACACAGCAAAACCACAACTGTGGCCATAAAAATAACTTTATGTTTACATCACCATAAATGTTACATTTTCTAGATTTATTTGTATAGGTCTATCATTCAACTCTTTTAAAAGATTGTTTTAGAGATCAGGAAAACACTATGACTCAAGATTTACTGTATATCTACATGTATCTATTCCTACTTGACTTTCTGCCTGCAACAGGGATCTTTTGAAGTGCTTTTCAATAAAATATCTTGAAACACAGTTGTTCCTTTTAATTTTACTGCACTTTGTTTTAGCCCCCCTATCATTTGCTTAAATGGACCTTGTCTTTTCAGCTATATATCATATTTAATGTGAATCGATCAAACACATATATGAAGCTCATGTGACATGACTGAAAACTGTTTAACAGCTACTTGATAGACCTTGTGATATGAGTGTTTTCTGAGATTCTGTTGGCAGGTCCAAAAATAAACTTGGAACCTGAACTTTTAATCCAGTATGGATGAGGTGTCCTACAAGTGCTCAGAAATCTGAACTACAATTCCGCAGCAACAGACAAACTCATCTGCTGAGGAAGAGCAAGTGATGTGATTGAAAGTTCCACAACAGCTACAGGAGCCATAGAGTAAGGTTCCTTCTTCAGCCTATCTGAAGACTTTGATTAAAGTATAGCTCTATAATTAGTAGGCTTTCTTAATTTATTCTAGCTAATTTTACTTCTCACTAGTTTAAAGTGGGTGGGGTTCATTTGGGGAAAGATGACATCACATAACTCAATGCACTAATCAGGATTGAGCTGAATCAGAATATGATTCCAACAGTTGCGGGGTACTTGTTTGCTAGGTCACATCCAATCCAAGAAATCACTAAAACCATCAGACTGTCTGTAAAATTAGTACATATAGCAAACATTCATTGATGTAAAAAAAAAAAAAAAAAATTCTATGCAGGTTATTTTTGGCAGCACTAAATGTAAAATCAGTAAACACCAGCTTGTGCGTCTATGTATTTTTAAAATTACAAAATGAAATGACCATTTGTACCGACACATCCAAAGAAAAGCAGGTAACATAATGCCACTGCAGAGGTCTGGCAATTACACCTCAAAGTTTCTCTTTTCCCACTGCGAGGACTACATCGGCCAAGAGGAAAACACGCACAGGAGAAGAAGTTAAGGCTGACAGAGCCACTGCAGAAAGTGAACAGAGAAATATTGCTTATTTTTTGCCAGGATGGACCAATTTAAATGGACTGTAGTGTATGGATTTTCAGACTGCTACTAGCGATTAGTTTTTATTGTCAGTTAATCTTACAATTATTTTTTAAATTTTAATAAATCATTACTCTATATTGCACATTTAATAATACATGATGTAAAATAATTAAGAAATACCATTCCATCTTCTTAAGAATCAAAAGTGATGTTGTAAAAGATGATTATTTAGATCAACAGTTGTGGACAAACTTTTGAACCAATATATCAAGACTCAAACTATTAAAATTTAGATTTAGCCTATTAATTCCATGAACTTATTACCAAATATTATAAGTAATAATATCATATATAAAACGTGTGCTTTCTGTAGGATATGTGGACAAACATTAAAGAAGAGAGTTTGAATAGGTCACATGACCTGGAAACAAAATATAGTCTGATTAATAAAGTACTAATCATGTACTGACACCAAACGTCCCTGATTACCATTTGTGTAAATTAACAGACTGACAAATTCACAATTAAAACAAGATATTTTTAAGTCCCCTTGTAAACCAGCATACAGGTGTTGGGAAAACGGCTAATGCAGTGTGCTCATGTGCGGGGCAGACGACGTCCTGCTCTCGTACAGACAGCATGAACCGGACAGCAATCGGTTGCCCGGAGGTTTTATGAAACGAATATCTCTTTAATATCTAACTGTAAATTAATTTCACTCTGTGTTGTACAGTTCATAGTTCCTTAACACAACGTCGACATACACACCGTCACTTTCATATAAACCGGACAGAGAAAAGGCGACTGCATTATTCATTGTTGTAATTCGATATGTGCATTAAAGGCGGGCATACGGAACAGCACCAATAGCCACACTAGATCACAACCTAAACAAGACATTATGGTGAGATTGGTGACATGCGGCGAAGCTAACTCAACGTTAGCTGGGAATTAAAGTATGTGTTCGTTAATCTCCTTTTCCTACTCACCTGCCCTCCGATGGTAATGTCGAAGAAAACAATGGGGTTATTAGGATTAGTTGTCTGAAGAGACATTATACCGCTACACTCGCCTTTACAGAGCAAACAAACGCGGTGGGATGTACGGTGGCTCGGAAGAAACGTTACGGTTCGTAGTAAGGGACAAATTACATAAAATCGTGCAAAAGGCGCTGTCGCAAATGTCTCAACAATGCCACCAGGGTGACGCCTGGTGGAAAGCTAATTGTATGTTTTCGGTGTAGAACAAACCTACACGGATGTCCTTTTTAAATATTACCGTCGCGAGTTCTAGTCCTTTTGCACCGAGCTTGTAAAGCGGAAATTCTACCTTTACCCAAGTTTATCTTGCAGTACAATAGGTGTCCATAATCCCCAGCCTTTACATTATTTTAAGTTATAAGTGACAGTTGTGTTGCATACACTACTGAGACGATGCGTCCTCATATTATAACACATTTTGGGTCTGCTGCACCATAAACTTCATTATTCTTAACTAAGACCTGTTGTCCCCATTTGTAGACACCTTTGGCGCCATTTAGCGGTAGCAAAAGCACATTACACCAATCAGTGTAAAAACTGGATGGCGTCAATCTCAGCCAAGACGTTCTACAGTCGAGCCCGAGATAAAAGTGAACAAGGTACAAAGCCTGATGAAATTTTATGGTTGAAACTTTATTTATGCTTAATAGCATTTGTAGTTTGATATGGCATGCAAATTTCACAGGTTTTAGCAATAGTAACAAGCTAGGAACCCCCTAATTAGGAAGACTCGTTTAATTAGGAAGTACTCGTTTGATGAAATGGGATTTATAATGGCATAATTGCAAAGTGAAGGTGTAAAAGTAAGGACGCATGGCTTGGGAAGAAACAAACAGTTTCCAAGAGTATAAATAGTTGTTGCATGTTGTAAAAATTAATCTACAGTGATTTAATTTTATATTCTTCTGTGATACATTTCCAAGGCATATTTCTTTGTCAAAAGCAGAACAATTACTAAATGCAACAAAAGAAGAGAACTCTGCCGTGGAGGAGTTGTCTGATGGTGATGATGCTGATCCTGGTGTGGAACAATTAAATGATGAAGATTATATTCCACCAGATTTATCAAAGTCTGACCAGCAGAGCAATGATAGTGACAGTGAGCCACAACTCCATCCACATGCATGTGATGGGGTGCAAATGCACTCAGGTCACAGGTCCCGGACAAGGAGAGACTTTGTTTGGGAGCCCTGGTTATCATACGTCTGGCTAAAACTCTGCATCCTGGTACAAAAGTGTACTGTGATCAGTTCTTCACAACCATGAAAGGTGTGGATCAAATGCTGGAGACAGGACCAAGTATTGTGTGCAAGTACAACTCCAAGATACAGTAGGTGGGGTTGACTTGGTAGACAGGATGATGAGTTACTACCTGAAAAACCCAATGCGTTGCAGAGAAAAGGGCTGCTTGGCAAAATCTTGTGTGCAGTGTGTGACATGCAATGTGTTCTTGTGCTTGCAAACTGAACGCAACTGCTTCGCAGCGTTTCACACAGGCCCATAGGTGTGATACAGTTTCTACAGACAAAAAGGACATTCCTAGTCTTGAATATGAAGCAATGAAAATTATAACAGTTAATGTTGAATGGTTCACAAGGCTTCAAATGTCGCAATGTTGTTTGTGCACAGCCATGTTCAGGCACTGGATTATAAAGTTTTATATTGTGTTACACAATGGTGATTTTATTGTATTATGCAGTAAAGTAAACCCAATGTCCCTATATGAGGACATCATTTTTTTCAACTACTTCCTGTTCACAAACAAAGCTTAGTTTATATACTTATCAGGTCCCAATAATCCCAAATAGCTAGTAGAAATTAAAGATAAATAAGAAATCAAAGCTCAAGTCTTAAGAGGTTAATTAAAAGGGCCTGCTTTGTACTTTTGAGAAATTACAACACTTCTAATTACACGACATGATATACTTCCACTATCCAACATTTCAAGTCAGCACAGTCCTAAAGACAAATACTTAACATAAATGTAATATCCCACAAACATCAAGGCTTTTGGTAAGGGTTTTATTTTCACAATAAAATGCAATTCTAAAATTTAACATAATCATGTGTGGTGGTGCCCCACTAAAAATAACAAATGGCAAAGTGACTACGAAGATCTGTCAAAGCTGTACTAAAGCACCGTGTTCAATTTAGCAATAAAGGCATTGACAGAGTCTGTTGGGTCTGCAGGAAAAAAAACTAGCAAAAGCAAAAAAGCCTTGAACAAAGACAGCTCTATGTAAAGTAATATGGCTTCTTGACATTGATGCCATATTCTGACAGAGCAGGAGTCAGGTCTTCCATAGTCAGAGTGTATTTTTTATCCTACACATAATGAAAAAAAGAACATAGTGAGAATACCATAAATGACAAGAAATAAATTATCAGAGTACTTATAAGCAGTCAATGATTACCTCTGTGACTATCTTCTAACAGTCTTTTCTCACATAATGCACTGCCAAAGTACTGTATGGATGTATTACTTTTAAAGAGCATGTCAAAAATGAAAGAAACACTGACCTTTGTCTTACTCCTTGAGCTTCCTGAAGCTGTGCCCTTCATTTTACAGTACTGCAATGCATCATTGGCAATGTCTGAGATAAACTTCTGAGATGCAAGCGAGATCAGTCGGATTCTAAAGAAATGGGAAAGAAAGTCATTGTGTTTCCCCCATCTCGTTATAAGCACAACATACTAAATGTGAATGAGATTTGACAATTATGAAATATAGAAACGGTCAAGTTGTTTATCATTTAATTACTGACAGACTGTAATTATTTTTAATGAGGTAAGTCAGACTGTCATGACTCAGTTGACAAACTGTGGCACAGTCTGGTAAGTGGGCTGCTTTTAACCAAAGGGCATTACAATGTGCCTCTCATTCACCCAGTAACAAGCATTCTACTTGAAGCTGCTCAAGCACTCCCTTTGGTGGTGCCAGTTTAGTTCTGTTAGGTAGTTGTTATGAGCCAACAACTAATTACAGCTCTGTCATTTAATCTCATGGGGTATCAGGCAGACCCGCTCACACTGAGATTTACAGGTAACATCTATGTTCAGACTACATACTGAAATGGCTCATATTTGATTATTTTTCTCCTCCAAGTGACTCTGATCTGATCTTTTCACAGATCAACTAACCAAATCCAACATTTTCAAATCAGATCTAGGGCCACCTGCAAAGGTGGTCCTAGATCTGATTCATATCTGATCATTCAACCTCTGTCAGGACGGTTCGATCGGAATTCGTGTATTTTTTTCAGCGACTCACTCCCCTGCACATACCCACATCACTTGTCGTCATCGTTCAGCATCAGCCTTTCACAGGCCGGTAAAGATGAACGCACAGGAGAGCAACAACAGTGGCGGGGCTCAGTGGAAATAGGTGGTTTCGCATTAGTTTGACATTTATGGAGACGCTGCTGATCACGCCAAGCAGGAGAGAACATGTCATAACCAAGCAGTTTTTTTAGGAAATTATGCGATTTGGCCATCACACAAATTACGTCTTTGCTGTTACTATTGTGACAGACTGGAGCTGGATACGTCACTTATAAACACAAATGTGAACTATGATGAATCTGACAAAAAGATATGAATGAAGCATTAGGACTTGTAATGTGAACGTAGTGCTAGAGTCACACTTTGTAACACTTACATTCTTGGATCAGAAGCCTCAAAGCCAGCCCGGTTGAGGTAGTAGCCTGTAACTGCATCTGGAATCTGAAAATAAATAAATAAATGTGAATTCCACAGCTTATGGTCAAGATTCACACAGCCCACTTTAACTGCTACTAACATGTAAAACAACTTTATTAATTAATATGATTACAATGAGGTAAATTATTTAGCAAGGCTGCTTTATATTATACTGTATTATATTATATTGCCTTTACAGGACTTTTGAATTAATGTGATTGAGTACCTTAACTTTCCAGGTATTTAATTACCGTAACAAGATATACAAAAAACTGCATCCATCTGCATATTAAACAGTACTGTCAACACTCTGCAAACAGGGACTAAAGCCAACAATGATTTACCCTAACTCACTGATAATGTCTATAAATCTGTCAGGTCCTGGATGACCTTATTCATGTGTGCCATAGGTAGGTAGGTGGGTACTTTATTGATCCCACAGTGGGGAATTTTCTGTGTTACAGAAGCAATAGAGAACAACCAACATAACACCTTAAGAACAGACACATAAGAACTTCATAGAAACACGGGAAAGAACACAACGGGACACAGCTGCTGTAACTTGCTGCCACTCCACGCGGCGCATGCGTACGTAGGTACACAGTAACAAAGAACACTTAGTCTTGAAATAAAAAGTTACATAAAGGCAACAAAGCATTAGAACCGATACAAACAAGGATTATGAAAGTAGCGTCATCAGAACGTTACATTTTACACAGCACAAATAAGCAAATCAAAGGCACCTAAAAACAGGGCAAAGCAGCACTGGAGAGAATCAGGAACAGCAGTAGAGGCTAAAACAACCAGGAAATCAAGAACAATCGAATATTACTCACACAATTGATCCCACAATGGGGGAAAGAAACCTGTGTTTCAGCCATAAGGATCTCTGAGCAACTACTCAAAAATAGGCTTCCACTGTTGTTCAAAAATGATTAAAAACATCACAGAAACACACTGCTACACTGGTTGACATGTTTCTTCATTATGAAACACCAGACCCTGATATCTTTTTTTAAAGCAGTTCTAAAATTCACCCTCTAACCTTTGGCTGTTTGAAAGTGAGTGATACCACTTTCCCACCAAATGTACCGTGTTTACATGGGCTTTTTATACCCGGCTAAACCCGCCTTTAACTGGCTTCTGACGGCATTCCCAATGCCAACTGACCAGACTTGGCTCTCCAGCAGATGAGCTTGTTTCCCCTCTGGTATGTCACATTTGACATCAGATTTGTAAACAAAGCATCATGGAAGCTAGTGAGACCATCAGCGTTATTTCTTCGTATTTACTTTTGTTTATTTTTCAAAGAAATTCGGCATAGACTGAACCATGTTAGAGCCTTGACTGAACAAAGACGGATGGAATTTATGGCTGAGGACGACGTGTGTCATTGCATTCGTTCACGGGTTAGCCAGGTCCTCCCCCCACCCCCCGGCCCTGTCTGTGAAACTACGTCATATGTGGTCACTACAGCCAGCGACAAACTCGGCAGTCATGCAGCTCAGCAGTAATAACCAGCTGCAGAACAACCGTGTACGAGATATTGAGCCCGTGGTTTTTAGTGACACTGCAGCAACATGGGTCCTTTTTCTGACCTAAAGCAATAAGACAAGCAAATTATATAGAAGAATTTTCCCCCCAATAATATTAATACAGTACTAATGTTCTGGCCACTATCGCATCGCATTCAATGTCATGTGCTTGGCACAAATAACATTATATGGCAACTGCAAAATATGTGAAAAAAGAGAAATTACATGTTATGCTTTGATAGCTGAACAAACTCCCCGCTTTTGATAGTGTAAATTCTAAGGTCTACCTAAAATCTTACATGGACTTTTGTGTTATGTCGGACATAAATTAACCTCATACTTGCACACACTTTGCTTGTGCACTCAATGTGTGAGCCAAGAGTTTACTGCTCTGTTTAACAGCTAAAGCTAGTCAGCTATGGCAGAGAAGGTACCCACAGCAGCTTTTGTGCACAAATGGAAACAGTTATTACAGACCAGGCTTTCCCCCGTTAATGCATATTAACATCGTGGATGTACAATGTTTTGAATGTCTGATCTTTCTGCTGCATCCATATTTGTGAATGTCATCATATGGCAAGCTGACTGAAAACATTTTCCTTACTGTGGGAGTGTATTCCTCCAGCTGCATGAGGAAATCTGCCAGGGGTGTGGTGGAGACTGCAGGCTTTACATCTCCATTGGTGATACCACCTGGAACATAGACGCCATTGGAAACAGATGCATCTGCTGATGGTGTCACCATGGCCGTTGAAGCTGAAGCTGTTATATAATATTAGAATGAGTTTATACAGAGTCAAAGAAACAAATTCGTAAACACATGGTGCATTTTGCAAATCTTGCAGTACTGTTATTGCTCAACACTTAGGTTGAAAGAAGTCCAAACCTTTTCAGCTTTAGGTAATTTCAGGTGAATGAATAGACTTGCCAAATGTAAAACATACGACAGATCATCCACCTTCAATTAAAAAACACTGACTATCCCGTGTTGAACTAAGCTAACGCTAACGTTGTTTAGCACAATAACATTAGACGAAGTTACACAATATTACCATTACTCGTGACCGAAGGAATGCTGCTGACGTTGGTTGTTGCATTATCATTTGCGATACAATTACTTGAAGCTGAAGACGTCGTGGATGGCACTCCAGTTGTGACAGACTGATTAACGTTGTCAATATTCATAATGGAGTTATGATAGCTAACGTGCTAATCTCAGCTAGCTAGCGCACAGAGACGTCAAAATACACACAAAGCGCGATTTGGTACTATATAACTCTAAACCTAGACTTATACAAAATTATGTGTTGTAAGATGAAGTTACTTTAGTAACTCAGAAAATATTTAAATCAGAAAATGAAGTAATATGTAGCATCAGAAGTGTTTGTAGCTACCGTACACCAGAAAAACAACGTTAGCTGAGCACACGCTGCAGAGCTATCCGCATCATGTGACCATATATGACTAAAGATCTGACGAAAGTAGCCGAAGATTTCCGAAAACGATTTAAAGAAAAATGACATCTGTGGGCAACAATCAATCTGTCTTTATTTTCAATTTAAAATAATATAGTATAGCTGTGTCAGCAACTAACTATAGGTAGCCTAGTTGCTGACACAGTTGCATCAAATTATTTGGCTATAGGCAGATAAAAGCTGACACACAGACTAACGGTTTAGTAGTTATGTAGGCTATATGTAGCCCGTCTGTCAGGGCACCAGTAAACTTTCTGCACTCTGCGTTGTGTCTTCAACTTGAAAGGAGGACCACTGCCATCAGATTACCCATCACAGGACTTTATTCTGTGCAAAAAGGAAATGAAACATACAGCAGCTCACTTTGCCAGGCTCCACATACACAGTGCATACTCTCCTCGTCGTGGCATCTAGCCGACTGAAGAGAGCGGCGCGAATTAACAGGAAGTGACATCGCGCACAGGAAATTACATCACAGAAATAAAACTTAACAAAATAGAGGCTCAAAAAACAAGAAAGGGAGGATCTTAAACAGTTTGCATGACGTAGTTATGTAGGCTATACAATAGCTTGTTGACATGTGGCGTAGCCTAAAATCCCATTATTTGGATTATTGTGAATCAACAGGTGTGTGAGTTTTGTGCCGATGTGCATTTTCCTGTAGTCTTACAAAATGTCAGGGTTGCCAGATTATGATTAAACAGTTTACGAGGAGCAGTGAATGCAGCAGATGGATCACGTGCACACTGAAGGATTCGGTGGCAAACATTACTGTTGTTTTTTTTTTTTTATTATTATATTTTCTCTTTTTAAAAACTAAATATATATGTATATATATACATATATATAACATTATTACCGCTGTGGAGTTGGCTTTATTTTTCGAAGAACTGAGCTACTGTAGTCGTAACCATAGACTGTTTGCGGCTGTATCAACCAACGCGGAAGACAAACAGAGGGATTTGGCAGCTGTATGCTAAAAAAAAAATAGGTAGGACATTGAACCTAACATTCAGACATTATTCACCGTTTGTAATGATAAAGTGGTGTTTACACTGTATATTTGCTCACCTAAAGATGCCTAATTTAAGACGCAATCTAAAGAACTGTAGATGTAGTGAATAATAGCCCAGATCATACAAAGTGAAGTCCCCGACAGGGACCTCAGGCTGAGGAGTAAAAAGCATTTTGTGAAATATGTCAACAAGATTTAATCTGTGTTGTAGTTCACAAGGTGCCATCATGACTTCACCTGTCCTCGCCATCGTAGTGGGAGCTGGCAGCCGTGGAGAGATCTATTCTGATTTTGCATCCATCCACCCTAAACGCATGAAGGTCAGGCTTGTCTGCGAAGGAGGCAATTCAGTGGACAGATATTTGTGGATTGTGTTCTTAATTGACTGCATTGACAAAACATATTCTGACTAGATGAGATCCTTAATGAGGTATGATTTAAAAAAAGTACTTCCTCAAATCCATGTTTTTTGTAATGTTATTGGTTGAAAAGGGCAGTTCATTTTGCTGATAATACTTAATGTTCTATTTAAATTTTTAATATATGACTCTTCTTTGTAATGTATATCCTTACTTAAGTAAATTATCTGAATACCTATGTCACCACAGCCCAGGTATTGTAAGTTGTAGTGTGTAACAAAACACTTATGCCCATTTTGTTTATGTGACTTCACCCTGTCAGGTTGTTGGAGTAGCTGATCCAAGGAAGTTTGCTTGCAGGAAACTTCAACAGCAACACCAAATTGTAGATGAAAACATATTTGATGGTGTGTACTGAGTATTATTTAAAAAAAAAAAAAATTTGTTTAGAATCACCAGCCTCGTGCTAAATTATTGAATTATATTTTCAAACTAGATTGGCACCACATAATTGAAAAAGAGAAGTTTGCAGATGCTGTGTTGATTTGTACTCCAGATTCCTTGCATAAGGTAAACAGAATTATGCATGAAAATATATGTATAATACTCTGATTTTAGTCTGTTGAGTAACAAAAGAGTCAGATTTGTGTTATTTTCTTGTTTTGTTATTGCACACTGAATTGTTGTTTGTTGGGTGAACAATGTGCTGATACAACTCAAAGCATTTAAGTTGTGTCCTTGTGGTGGGATTTATAAGCAGTCCCTGTCCTAGAGTCTTACCCTATGACTGATCTGAAGGTTATCTGTTTGGAAACTGTCTCTGTTCTTTGGTTAATCATTATATTAAAACAGTTTATATTCCCCAGGAACCTGCTGTGGCCTTTGCAAAGAAGGGCTACCACATTTTGCTGGCGAAGCCGACGGCAGTGACAGAACCCACACAAGCACGGGGAGAACATGCAAACTCCACACAGAAAGGTCCCAGGTGGGGCCCGAACCTGGAACTTTCTCGCTGTGAGGCAACGGCGCTAACCACTGTGCCACCGTGTATTTCCATCCATTCAGCCATTATCTATACAGCTTATTACTGAATAGGGTCAATTTATGCATTTAGTTTGCTTAACCCTTCAAAAAATCTACCACACTGTATATTTCTCACCACAATTCATTGTGATTTTAGTATATTTCTTTCAAGCACTTTTTTATTAAAAAAATATTATTTCATTATGTGAAAGGTTATCTAGTGTCTGACATAAATAAACACTGTTTTTGCAATTGGTTGCTTTGTGTGACATGCATCCTCTCATCCTGTACAATATGTGTTCTTATGAGTTTAGACAACTGCCGAAGACTGCTCGGCGATCGTGGAGGCTTGCACTCAGAGTGGTGTGATGCTATCAGTGGGCCATGTTCTCCGGTATGATCCCGTTATCCGTAAGATAAAGGTGAACATTTTCTGTCACTCTTCAAACATCTAATGGTTTTCTTCACCATGGGTTAAAGATTTTGGGTTAGACCAGTAACAAACTTGCAGTATGGGCTGTATCAGGATCAGCCAATCCATCAAGAAATAATGCTGCCCATTTTTTGACTTCATTTTGGCATATTAATACAGCATGTAACTTTTATCAAATATTTTTGTTGTTGAAATCTGCTCCAAAACTTGTCTTAATGTGTAGGGGTGCTGTCGAAGCCTCCTGTGACCCAGACTCATTGAACAGTGCTGGCAGCAGTGCAGAGATATTAGCTTCTCAAGGGTTTTGAATGAGATTGTCCTCTTTAACCAGTCAGAGATTTTCAGTTATTTCTGCTTGACCGGTAGGTTTTGTTGCATTGTCATTTATTGGTGGAGCGTAGCAGTAGATCACAGTGGAGCAGGGAGAGGGAGTCCTGGGTGGAGCAGAGTGGACTGATTTGGAATATCATGCTAGCGCTACCTTACGTTACACAGTGTAGCTTTAAGTTGAATTTTCATTGGAAGAAATCATATTTCCTAATCTGAAAATGCTAGTCAATAAAGATAATTAGGGGCAGCACGGTGGCACAGTGGTTAGCACCGTTGCCTCATAGCGAGAAGGTTCCAGGTTCGGGCCCCACCTGGGACCTTTCTGTGTGGAGTTTGCATGTTCTCCCCGTGCTTGCGTGGGTTCTCTCCGGGTACTCCGGCTTCCTCCCACAGTCCAAAGACATGCAGCTTAGGTTGATTGGTGTCTCTAAATTGCCCATAGGAGTGCATGTGCGTGTGTCTGGTTGTTCGTCTATGTGTTAGCCCTGCGATGGATTGGCGACCTGTCCAGGGCGTACCCTGCCTGTGCAGTTGGTTTTTTCTTTGGGTGCGGTCCGCTCTTGTGTGTGTGCGTGAGTGCAAGTATTTTAACTGCGTCTGTAGAGGCGCGTGCGTGCATGTGTGTGTGTCCTCCGTGTGATGTTGGAGGCACAGTCAGATCATAGAAGTAACAAACAATAAATATTAATATTAAGATGATAATGATGATAAATGAGATGTTTTATAGGTACTATAGTTGTTAAAACCTGAGGTTTATGAAGTTTCTAGTCTTGTGTTTTTGTTTTTTTTCAAGTTGCCATGGTCTGGAGAGTGAAGTGTTAGGTTGACTTCTTTGGATGAATAATCATTCCTTATTACTTAGTAGTACATGACTGTTGAACATTGGTTTTTGCACTTGTAGTTAAAACCGACTTTTAATATGGTAGGGTTTATTTTGGTTGCTGTGGTCGTTTCAGGAGGGAATAGAATAATCTGTGACTGTTTAGTTTAGAGTGATATGTGTCTTATCAGTACCACATCAGTTATGGTAATTAGAGTCTTGATCTAGTGTAGACTTATGTTAGATTGAGCTGTTTAGCCCTTTGATAACTGCTTACTGTTTAGTATTAGGGAAGTGCTATATGTAGGTTTTTTTATGTGTGTTTCTAGACTTCTTTGTTGTTTTCTTGTTATTCTTTTGCAAGTGTTTGCTTTAGTATGTTTAGGAATTCCATAGTTCTTCTAACTACGGGAGGAGGGGATTCTGTAGTGGCAAAAGCAAACTTGGTATAGTTAATACTTATTAGTTAATACATATTAGGCCAATGTTAGTTAAACTTAACTGTTAACTGTTTTCTGTGTACTTCTCTCTCTGCATGATCATGGGGTCTAATTTCCTGTTATTCGGCTCCAAAATAGAGAAGTGATACCAGGGTGGGGG